GTTATGTCTGTAAAGATTGCACCAGGATAACACTGATAGCAGTGGTTGTTGCTTAGGACTCATGATCAATAGACCCAAGTTCAAATCCTACCTAAGGATGAACAGACAAAGGATTGACACCTTGCCCAGGGTTAGTGTGGGACACAGACTCAATGGGAAGGCCAAATACACTGGCTGAGATTTATTCACTAACGAAAGCAACTTTGGAGGAACCTTGGTCTGCAGGTGCTTGTGTTCAATCAGCCCTGGTTGACACTGGGACAGCGCATTGAAGATTGCACTCGATAATCAATTAATCAATTTCTGTTCATACCACTACCAGTGATTTTTCACCTGACCATATATTTCTGTCTTTATAAATATACCATACTATAAATATAAATTTGTTAAAACATAGCAGCATATTTCAAGTTTAACAACGTACACAGGTCAATTCAACAGCCCAAGCTGTCTGAAAACACATAGTGTAAGTACAAACTTTAAAATAACATGAACACAAATTTTAATGCCAATGTACAACGAATAGTCGTTAGTGATGAGCTCCACTATAATTAAGCCTCTTAACATCAGTATAATGCTTTCATATAGATCTGTTTTTAAACTGGCCAAACTATTACATAATAGTTATGCTGGTGCTGGAATCTTCAAGAAAGCTTAATTGTCATGTATTTGCGTGGGTGTAACATCTGTTTTTATTTTGTAAAAAGACACAAAATCATGTGAACACGACAAGAGGCATGTGTTTCTATTAGAGAGATGTGTTTCTATTAGAGATGTGTTTCTATTAGAGAGATGTGTTTCTATTAGAGATGTGTTTCTATTAGAGATGTGTTTCTATTAGAGATGTGTTTCTATTCGAGATGTGTTTCTATTAGAGATGTGTTTCTATTAAAGATGGGCTTCTACAATGTATAGAGCAAATATGGTCAGGATTTAATTTAACACTTCAGAGGAAGTATTGGAAATTACCCACATAACAATAATGGACAGATAATTACCTGTGTAATTAGTTTTCACACAAACTTATAAATAACCACAGAATCTGTCCTTTCTGTTAAAATTTCAGGAAATTAAAAAAATATTTCATCACCAATTTACCGGGAAACCTTGAACTTTGCATTAGAATAAGGAAATTAGAATACACATCCCAGTACTATTTATCCTGGGTTGACAATACTTGAATTTGAATCGCTTTACAATAGGACAATAAGTGAGAAGATCCGACAAGGAACCTCTCTGGACAACAGACATATATTGAAAGTAAAGAAAGCTCAGTCTGTGTAGGTCTTTGTACAGTTCTGATTCACTGCCATATTTCACAGGGCTTTAGTGAAAAAGATAATAAATGGGCTGTGAAACCACTGAGATGATTTCCTGTGTATAATGGCAGTGACTAAAGCCAGTAATTTAGAATTGTTGTGACCCTCTGACTAGTTGTAATTGTCACAGCCTTTTTATTTTTTGTACAACTACAAATAGAATTATCCACAAAACATGAAGAATGAATTGAATAACAGAAATGAAGGGAAACAAGCCATGCATGGCACAGTCCCTGTTAGTTATCAAATTTAAGATATATAGTTTTAAGTATAGTAATATAGCTGGAATATAACCATGTCAGGAATAAAATTATGATGATTGTTTAACAATAAAATGATTGACATTTGTACCTGAGCGTCAAACAAGTACTTGTCCATATTGGGAGATATTGCTCTGGAACAGCATTCATTAAAACAAAATCAGCCAATTTGAATAATGTATATATCTATAACATGATATATAACGAATATATACAATTTTAATATAATCAGTCAAAGCATGTTAGAGATACAGCTCTAGAAGCCCAATAATTAAAACAAAATAGCCGCCAGTCAGCCATTTTGAATCCGATCTGAAAAATAAAATGATGTGCATCAGGAACCCGTAATGTCTAATGTACATAATGTATGTACTAAGTTTGAACAAAATCCATCCATAAATGCCAGAAATGCTTGATATTTGATGATTTTTTTAGCACAAAAATGGCCACCATTCGGCCATTTTGAATACCGATAGAATCATCAAACCAATATATCGGTATATCTATGACATGATGTATAATGAATATTAAAAATTTGAACATAATCAGTCAAAGCAAGTCAGAGATATGGGTCTAGAAGCCCATTCATTAAAACAAAATGGCCGCCAATCAGCCATTTTGAATCCGATCTGAAAAATAAAATTGTTTGCATCAAGGTCCCATAATCTCTAATGTATATACCAAGAAATGCTTGATTTTGATGATTTTTTAGCACAAAAATGGCCGACATTCGGCCATCTTGAATCGTAAAACAAATTGATGTGCATATGTATAATATCATGTATGATGTATGTGTGAAGTTTGATCACAATTCGTCCAGGCATTTCTAAGATACAGGTTCGGACACACACACATGCACACACGCACAAGGGTCAAAACATAAGTCCCCGTTTTTCGGACTGTGAACGAGGACTAATAATCTAAATACAACATGGTGGAGACCCTGAGGGGAGAGCAGGCTTAAATGTAACTATATACACTATACACTGAATATATATTGAAGGATAGTGTTGTTTGTCTTGCTGGTACGGAGAAGAACTCATTAACAGACAGGATGTCTACACCAGAGAGAGAAGAGATATGCAGACCAAGTTTGCATTCCAATGCACATTAATTTCAGTCAATTATTTCATCAGCATTTCAACATGTAAGGACATTTCTAAAGAGTGAATGTAAAACCCTGACTGTGGATAATGGAGAGGTTAGGAGCAGAATAAGAGAATTATGGAGAAGTCAAGAATGGACCATTGAGAATTATGGAGAAGTTAAGGGTGGACCATTGAGAATTATGGAGAAGTTAAGGGTGGACCATTGAGAATTATGGAGAAGTTAAGGGTGGACCATTGAGAATTATGGAGAAGTTAAGGGTGGACCGTTGAGAATTATGGAGAAGTTAAGGGTGGACCATTGAGAATTATGGAGAAGTTAAGGGTGGACCACTGAGAATTATGAAGAGGTTAGGGGCGGGCCATTGAGAATTATGGACAAGTTAGGGGTGGACCATTGAGAATTATGAAGAGGTTAGGGGCGGGCAATTGAGAATTATGAAGAAGTTAAGGGGTGGACCACTGAGAATTATTAAGAGGTTAAGGGTGACCATTGAGAATTATGGAGAAGTTAGGGGTGGACTATTGCGAATTATTAAGAGGTCAAAGGCGACCATTGAGAATTATGGACAAGTTAGGGGTGGACTATTGAGAATTATAGAGAAGTTAAGGGTAGACCAGTCAGAATTATGGAGAGGTTAAGGGTGGACCATTGAGAATTATGGAGAGGGTAAGGGTGGACCATTGAGAATTGTGGAGAGGTTAGGGGCGGGCTATTGGTAATTATGGAGAAGTTAAGGGTAGACCAGTCAGAATTATGGAGAGGTTAAGGGTGGACCATTGAGAATTGTGGAGAGGTTAGAATGGAACCACTGGTAATTTTAGAGAGGTTAAATTAGATGAGATTTTAATTAACAACATCAACCACATTAGGTAGAGTCTCAATGATGGAGCTAACCAAGATGTGATTGGTTGATCTTGGAAAATTAATTTATTTAAGTTATCAATTCAGTGGCATCGAATTATTTGTGGGTTTATGAAAATCAAGTGCAGGTCAGTTAGTGTCATAGTGCCCTAATTTGGTTTCTGGAGGTAACTTTATACTCTTTCTGTGTTTCCCATTCTAAACCTCATGTATATATGTCACTCAGTTTGTACAGGTGCTCCACTTGGAAAGACAGAACTAATTTTTTGCTCAAGTAAATTTCACTAACACTAACAAATAAAATTTATCTAAATTAAATTTTTATGATGGTAATTTTTTTGGAGAAATTCTCTCAACAAATAAAAAAAGTGTTTTAAATTAAATCAACTGAGAATTGTCTCTTCAAACCACATTTGGATAAACGATTATAACACAAAAATGTATCATTACTAATAAATAAATTATTAAACCACCCAGCAACACAGAGTCACATAGACCCTAACAGATTAATAAAGTTAATAATTAAATCTAAATATCTCAATTAGACATAGTGACAATGTTAGACAACATAAACAATTGGAGTCCTACGTCAATAGTGAAACATTCAATATGCCAAATTACAGCACACACATATCAGAACTTGAACTTCATGAGTTCATAAAGGCCATTGAATTTGCCTAGGTGCCTTGGTGATATTCCCGATGTTATTCTCATGTGCCTTGAAATGAGACCCTTACAATTCAAAAGTTTATGACCTTGATACATGTGCTACAAAGTAAACACTTTGACAGGCTGTGATTGGAATTGAGTGCATCAATAACACATCAAAGGTTTTGTTAGTTTCATACCATACGAAAAAATGTAATGTACATGAAGGATGAATGAATGGCTCCCCCTCAGTAAAAAAACATCAATTTTTCACAAATAATGTAATCTCATGAGTGAACAGTTATTAAAGTTATAAAGCTTTTTGAAAATGTAGGCTACCTGTTCAGTATGTTATTGAGAAAAAACTAAAATATATTTTCCCTCTTTATTACTGTACATGCATTACAATAAAAACATGTCTAGAACACATGACCCAGGTGACCTTTGTGATAACAGCCATCTCTGTCAAGGCCTGATGAATCTGTCATGCATAATTAGCACTTACAAGTAATAGCAAATTGACAGAATAAAATATTGGAGTTTTAAATCTGATACTTCCTCAAATATCTCTCTTATCAACTCAATCGTGACACGTAGAACTAAAAATAGATATATATGAAACAAACAGATCTAATGAGGAAATTGAAAACATGTTTTTTTAAATATTGATCATTGTGTGGTTTATTCGATACAAAGCCAAAATCATATTCAAAAACCTTCATTTCATAATAATTCAGGTGATTTACATCTTGAAGTTAATAGTTAAGAGCTAAGAAAGATATAAAAATGTCTTGTAACCTACCTCAAGCACTGGTCCAGCTCCAAGTATTGTCTGCTCCAAACCACTGGCATGTCCCTTTCGACTTAATGCTGTCAGGTGATGAAGCAATAGATTGGTAGCCTCTGTTTTTCCAGACCCACTCTCTCCGGATATCACTACACACTGGTTTTTCTTCTTATCCAGCATAGTGTGAAAAGCCGCATCGGCAATCGCGAAAATATGTGGTGGCAGTTCACCAAGACGACGATTCTGGTACATGTTCACAAACTTAGGGTTGTAAATCGGGAAGAACTTGAAAGGATTCACAGAAATTAAAATTGAACCAACGTATGTGTAAATTTTGCCACGTTTAAACCGGGCAACAATACTTTCAGTCAGAGTGTCCTCGCTTAGATCGGGTAAATTGCATAAATCATCAAACTCTCCTTCATCAACCTTTGGTATAATCCCGCTCATAAATGAGTCCAATGTGAAATCATTGAAGGCACTGTAAGTGTCATGTTCCTGATAAATGCTGCGTAAAAACAAACGATACTTGGTATGGACGTAACTGGGATCAGCAGGACCATGTCCAGGACTTTTTGGCCAGAGTAACTGAGCTCTGACTGGATACTCCGAATCTCCAAGTTTTCGCTCAATACAGTTTTGACCAGATTCTTGGCAGACTTCTGCCAAGTAATAATCCTTAGCATTGTCTAATGAAAGTTTTGACACAACATTTTCAATCAACTGTGGCACTGTGGTGTATTTTGTTGCCTGAACCGCTGTAAAGACTGTATCTGGAGCACATGTTCCTGGATACACCCTAACCATGTACTGCACCTCTCCAACACTATTGTATCTTTCCATTCTTAATCACAAGCAGATCACTTATTGTAAATGTCTATATAAAACTAAATTGGTTTAATATAAATATCTCTGTGGATTCCGGAAGATTCTGCTTCTGAAAAAGAACAAATACATTATGCAATACTTAGTACAATAATGTATGTGATGGTATTGACTTGGACAATGCAGTATGATAAGTTCATTACAAATATTTCCTTTAAAAACTAGAGATGTCTCGTACTGAACACATAAAAACTGGTTCATACATGTATAGTCAGGTCACTAGAACTTAAAATCCATGATGGCCATGGATGTCTAGATGTACCATAATTAAAAATTTTATTTTCAATTTCAACCAGTTCAAAGCATTTTTAGAAATTTTGGTCTTGAATTTAGAAGGTCTCACAACACTGAACTCAAACCAAGTTAGAATCTGTGCAATGCAATCATTAAAAATATTATACTGCAAACCATTCACCACTGCTAGAAATGTAATTTCAGGATTTATTACATTCATGAAGACAAAGTTTTGTGATGTCACTGACCACCCATTCTGGTGTCAGACTCAAGAACAATTTTTTTAAACTAGAATGATTATTTTTTCAAAAAAGCGATATTGTTGGATATGCACTTGAACAAGATAGTCACAGCAATCGCCATAGCATATAAGTTGATATGAACATGGAAGAATATGATTTCATACTGACTAATACATTTGGTTGGTTGGTTTATTTTATTTTCCATTCAATTTTAAATCAAAAAAGTCTATTTGTTTATTATTTAATCTAGGAATTGACATTTTATCCAGGTTGAAGAATTTAAAAACACACAAGTTTGAGTTGGTGGGTGTTAGTATGAATACCTGAGAAAATCAGTAATTCAGTATGTACTTCAGTTTGTATAGTCTATCCTTTCAGAAGCATTACAATAATCCATGTTGCACCCCCCCCCCCCCAAATAACATACTTAACCAACACCACTCTGTGCACATGGAGTAGGTAGGTATTCTATATTGAAAAACATTTCTATAAGTGTTCATAATAGAGAAAATAGTAAAATATAAAGATGAAGCAGAGCATCATGAGTATTCTCTAGTTTAAAATGTACAAACTTCAAAATGGTTCCACTTTCTATCAACCATTCAACATACACTTCTACAATTTATAACACACATATTTGCAAAGTACATATATTCACAATTATGATTAATTATGTCAATGCAAAATGTTATAGTTTGGATGTATTTGAAGACTGAATTTTAGTTTGATGCCATGACTGAGGATAGGCAGCAAGACAAAGAATTTCAGATTTTGCTGTTTTTGGAGTAATTGGCTATTTAATGTGATATTTTCACCTGTTACATAACCAGGAACATATCACCCTGCCCATACATGTACATTTTGTATTCTTTGGTGGAAAGTCAGTTGATGAGGATGGGGGTGGGGATTGCACAGATCGAAGGTTCAGTAGTGAATGACTTGTTTGTTCATTGTTTATAATTCTGGCAAAACATCAAGCATATGCAAATTTAAGAAATAAGGCTAGATCATTATAACTTACTTCACATACTATAAAATACTTTATTTTCACTTGGAATTAATTTTGATTCAGTGAAAACAAGTCATTGAAAATGACACAGTGCCTGTTAAATTTTTGAAAGTTCTTTTTGTGCTCGTCATATCAAAGTGGAGGTGTTGTCGCGAGCATGTACTTAAAACTTGAGTCCCAAGTAGCAGATACAACAGATTGTTTATTTACATCAAAACACATGTTCCGTGTAGTAGTAATATGGCCAAAAATAAAAACAGTCGTTATTCGGCCATCTTTGATCTGATTATGAAACACACTGATATGTATGATGTATGTGCCAAATACGAATGAAAATGGTACATAAATTGCGGAAATATAGTAGTAAGGCCAAAAAGTCAGATGGCTGTCAATCGGCCATCCTTGTCCAGATTTTGAAACAAATTGTCATGGACATGCATCCTAACATGTATAAAGTATGTGCCAAATTTGAATGAAAACTGACAAAGCATGTCCAAGATACCACATTTAAAAAAAAAAAACAAGATGCCTGCCAGTCGGCCATCTTTGATCCAATTGCGAAAGAAATCAGGGTTCTCCCCAGAGCTTTTTAGCACCGAGGTTCACGGCGATATACTTGTGAATCTCGGCGCTATGTGTTCCGACCTCTGTGCTTGATTTGATATTTGACATGCTAATATCAGATGTGTCGGCCCGACCGTCACTCAAAATTAGTGACCACCACGGGAACGCTTCCGACCAGAACTATTGTCCAATTGTTATAATAATTACGTACCGACCGACACGCATCCTGCCAGTCGTGGATTATAATTTGTAAACAAGCAGCCTATCGGCTGAGATAGTTTCGCTGTTAGAAATGCACATTTCAATTAAAGAACTGAAGACATCATCAGAAAATGAACAATATGTATAGTATCAAAGCAATCGGACTTACAGTTTTTAACAAGAAGTCGAAAATATCACTTTCTACCAAAAATGACCAAAATATTCACCAAAATTAGAGAATTGAAGATATCATCACGAAATGAACAAATCTGAGAAAGGTCTACATGTAGTATCTATATATGTAATATCAAAGCAATTGAACTTTTGGTTTTTAACAAGAAGTCGAAAATATCACTTTTTACCAAATATGACAAAAATATTCACCAAAATTATAGAATCCAAGATATCATCACGAAATGAACAAATCTGAGAAAGGTCTACATGTAGTATCTAAATATGTAATATCAAAGCAATTAAACTATTGGTTTTTAACAAGAAGTCAAAAATATCACTTTTTACCAAAAATTACAAAAATATTCACGAAAATTAGAGAATTGAAGACCATCATCATGAAATGAACAAA